AACAGTTGTCAGTCGTTTTCTTTATCTATGAGTCTGCTTCTATTTTGTTTGTTTACTTGTTCATTGGATTTCACATATAAGTGAAATCATGTGGTCCGTACAATGTATATGGGAACAATCCCTGAACCAGTGCTGTCTCTGTTTCTCTTTATTCTCTGACACTGTTGCTTCTCTTGTGTATCACACTCGGGCTGTGTTTCGTGATAACCATAGATTTAAAAAACCCTTGGTACTATTTGCAAAGTAATTCATTAGTTTTAAATTATATTCTTCCTAAAACTGCCACAAGTATAGAGTTTTTGCCACTGAATGCTAAGAATGAATGGGTTCTTTCAGGATGTTCTGCAAATCATGGTATATTCACTTATTATTTCAGGAACTATTTTTTATCATGGTCTACCTTTCTGTTTCTCTAATATGAGTGCCTGAAGGTGTTTTCTGTAGACTTTCTCATTCCATCATATTTTATTTTATTTTTTAATTTACTTTATTTTATATTTTAATATGTCTTTTATTGATTTCAGAGAGAGGAAGGGAGAGAGGGATAGAAACATTAATGATGAGAGAGAGACACTGATAAGCTGCCTCCTGCATGCCCCCTCCCCCCACTGGGGATCAAGCCTGAAACCGGGGCATGTGCCTTGACCAGGGATCGAAACTTGACCTCCTGGTTCATAGGTAGATGCTCAACCACTGAGCCATGCTGGCCAGGCCCATCATGTTTTATTTATTTAAAGAAATTCAAGATTTTAAAATATTCTGTTTGATATATATAGGCAGTGTGACAAAGGTTCATATATGCATTTACTGGCCCATTATTTCTGTTTACAAAATATGTTACTTAAAAACACTCGAGTGAGAAAAAAATCTCCAAGAAATACCTATTTAGAACAGGACTAGAACATTCATGCAGTCGTATGAATGACTCACATCAGGGAATTTTTCATCCTCAGCTTATTTCTTCTTATTACATCAAAGATTTCTCCAGCCTCATGTTATTCCACATAGTTATGCGCTTCTGTTAGCTGAGACCCTGCATGTCCAACTGATAAATGACACTAATGTCACGGGTAAAGTGGTAGTGATCCCCACATCAATGTGTGTAAGACTTAGCTTTCATTTCAGTCTTTTCCTTTGAGCTAACACTACTGCTTCTTGGCCAGTCACACAGGTTTTGCTTCCAGTGTCTTCTGCAGTAGGATCTTATTTTCTCATCAGAAATTTAATTCTCGTTTCCTATAACAACCCCACCCCCTCTTAGATCTTCAAGAATTATTACAATAATATCAAGAGTGGTCTAGGTGCTAAATGACATTTCAGATGCTGGCAACACTGTGGTTGGAAATATAGTGTGCAGAGGAGTGTACAGTAAGTGGATATGTCAACAAGGCCTTTGCATGCCTAGTGTGTTGACCAGATGCATGATGCTTAAACTAAGAATAACCACTGGACTAAACGCAGGAGAAAATTCAGTATTCTTACTGGGGAAAAAAAAAAGAAAGCAACATGGGCCAAATCAAAATAGAGATGGTTTATTTATTTAGTAATTATGTGGCAAAATATATTTTTAGCAGCCAATATTCTAGAAAAATATCGCAGGACTTTATAAGAACTCATTTTTTTATTTCTTAAGAAATACAATAAATCAAGTAGATTTTAAGCTACATACACTTTAGGCAATGTTGAATAGGACATCGTAAGATAATTGTGATCCACTGTGTCAGAAAGATGCCAAGAACTCATAGGAGAGATTCTAGTCACTGCCAGGACCTGGAGAATTAAACAGTCTGCTTTCTCCTCTGACCTTCTGATCTGCCAATGTCCCCAACGGCTGACACCAGCCAGAATCCAGAGGGCGAGGAAGCCTGAGTGATGCAGTTATCAGGGTTTAGCTTCCAGGACCACAGAAGGTAGCAAAGAAGCCAGAGGATGGGTGCGGGAGTGGCTTCATGAGTAAAAGATGCCAGGATCGTGTTCACAGGAGTAGCCTATGGTGACAGAGTAGTGGAAGCTCCACTGGGGACACATTGCATGTCTGCAATGCTGGGATTAGCTGTGTCTTGTGGGCTGAGAGGAGCCCACAAGGGCAGGGAGCAACCTGGGGGCATCCTGGGTTCTGTGGTAGGCTGAATAGTGGCCCCCAAAATATACAGGTCACAGTCACTAGAAACTGTAAGTAATACCTTATATGGCAAAAAGGACTTCGCAGGAGTGACGAAGGTAAGAATCTTGAGATAAGGAGAATAAGTCTGATTTTCCATGAGGGCTTGAGATGCAGTCAAGCTGGAAGTCCGAATTGCTGAAAGGACGTGTTCTTGTGACTGAATATGGCCAAAAAACTGAATTATCTGAGAATTGCCCACATTTTTGTAGATGCTAGTAAAGCAGGTAAAGAACAAAACTGCATTCAGGTTTAAAGGGAAATTCAGAGAAACCTTGATCCTAAATTGATACAGGCAGTATGTGAATTATTTTAATTGTTTTGGTTATATGAATAGGGCTTTGGAATCGTGAGTAACAATGGTTACCTTAAAAATAGAATTCTTTTTTCTGATTGCTCTTAAAAATATCAATAATCTATAACCTCTTCTATTTTTTTTAATCCTTACCTGAGGATATTTTTTCTGTTGCTTTTCAGAGAGAGTGGAGGAGAAAGAAAGAGAGAGAGAGAGAGAGAAACATCTATGTGAGGGAGACACAGCCTCCCAAACGCCCCCTAACCCAGGGTCGGGGATCGAGCCTGCAACCGAGGTATATGCTCTTGGCTGGAATCGAACCCTGGACCCTTCAGTACATGGGCTGACACTCTAACCACTGAGCCAACCTGGCCAGGGCTAACCTCTTCTAGTTTTAATCTTTCTGGTTATCTAATACTCTTGTTGATTTGGGAATCAAGTCCTCTGATGATTATATGTCACTATTCCTTTCACTGTATTTATTAAAATCTAATTATCTGATTCTTTTAACGTTGTCTGCAATCCTGGTAAATCTCAGCATTATGCAATTAACAATGCATTTTCCATAAAGTTACAAGTATCAGATAAAAATACACTTACTATAAAGTTCACAAGGAGCAGTGCATTTAAAATACTGTGTCATTTTAGGTTTCAAATTTTACTTGTTGGCCCCATAAAGGAACTTTGGCTTCTTTATCGGTTGTAGGAAATACTGTAGATCATATGGCATCACGTGGGCGCACATTTAGAAAGGGTGGTCGGAGGGTGACATCCGAGCAAGGCCTGAGTGAAATGAAGGAGCCAGCCTCCAAAATATCTGGGGGGAGAAGCTGTACAAACGGTGCAGTGGCTGTGAGACGTAAGGCTGCCTGGTATGTTTGAGGGAAGTGGCAGGTGAAAGAAAACCTCATGTGAACACAGCTCCAGTAGTTACGGTCCAGCCAGTGCTTTATGATCTTCATGTTGTTTTTCTCGGTGTGTGACCAGCTCCTCTCTTTCCTTTTCCTCTCTTAGTGGGTAAAAGCTGTCACGACTCTGAATTTAGTCTCGTTTCCTGTGGTCCTGTTTGTCCGAATGATAATGACACAGACAGTGATAGTTAAAGCGATAACGATCACCCGCACCTGGGGAGCATATCTCAGCTTTGGCCTTTGCTCTTAAACTTTATCTTCTGTTCCTTGACCAGGTTGCTTCGCGGTAGCTTCTGTTCTCTTTATCACGCATGCTGTTTTCTCTGGCCAGTACCCGTGCGTCTCATCCCCCAAATCGTATGGTCACATCAAGGCTGGTGTAGGTGTTA